GGGCACCTCGCAATTCCTAAATGAGGGCTGCTAGGCGATCCTGGCCTTCTCTCCTATGTTTCTTTCGTTTCCTTCTTTTTTTTTTTCACTACTGGAATTATTAAAAAAATAAATAAAAAGGCTTTAATAAAGAGGAACTGGGGATGGAAAGGGCTTCTTTGTTCTGTCTTCTCCAGAACGTTACAAGTCTAAGAGCTCAGGACAAGAGCAGCAGAAATACATGCAACATGGTGACTGGTGAGTCCAGATTGTCCACATGCTGCAAGTTGTGTGTGTGTTTGCAGTAACCTCGGTCAAAGTTTTATGAACTAACCATATGTGCTCATGGTCTCCAAAGAGTTTCTTGAACTTTTTTTCTTTTTTCTTTTTTTTTTCTGGGAAATGCCATTACCCTAAGCAGGGAGGAATTATGTCCCTATACTGAAGAAAGTTTAACTTGGTGTTTTTTTCCGTTTTTAAAATAGAGTACTAAAAAAACATGCTGCTAAGTATGGATGGATATTTGCTACTTTTAATAGGTGCTTACTAGTTCTATAGAATGCATAAACTCATTTAATAATTGACAGTAAAAGGAGTAACTGCAGTGGTAAGCTGCATGTGTTGGAGTACAAAAACCTACTGAATGCACTGTTGGGCCTTAAAGGAGACTTTGGCTAGAAATACAGTTATTACCTGCCCTCCAGATCTTCTCAGTATTATTAAAATCTCTAAATATGGTGTTACTTTCCTGAATTTCTAGATCTGGTATCTCTGCTTCTGCACGGGGTTCTCTGAAGTGCTATTTTCCTTGACATTTCCCAAGGAGCCTTCAAACTGACAGGAGCTTCCTTCCAACAACTTGTCAGGGGGGAAGGCCCACAGGAGCCTTGTCAGGCTCTTGATTTTTGATGCTTGCTAAAGAGAAGCAGTTAAGATGAAGCAAATAAGCCAAGGAGACAGTTATATATGTTCACCTTCCTTGGTGGTTGGAAGAGGTGGGTGAAGAAATGCCTGACAGTGGACTCTTCCTGGGCTTTGGGGCTGTTGCTTATGGACTGGGGCTCCTGGCCTCGGTGGCAGAGCGTGCATAGGAGCAGCTCTCAGCCGAAGCATCGAGCTCCTGCGTACAAGTCTTTCCAGGAGGCAGGCTGATGACATTGTGTAGCTGCTAGGGCTAATGGAAAACAGTGGCCCGGCTCGTCTCCCTGATCTCTCCCTTGACACAATTAGCAGAAAGCAAATAGCTTCCTGTGACTTGATTCCCTGAGCATTTGCATTGTAATAAGCCCTAATGCGGGAGCAAGGAAGTAGGCAGGAGTTTTGCTGAGAGGTGGGTCCATGCTGTTCAGCAGCAGCCAGCTGTCACACGCATCACTGCAGCATCCCATAGCACCTGTAGTGTTCTCTTCTGGGCTCCCAGCTTAGCATCCTTGAGACTTAGCCTTCTGAAGAGTTTTTCCCCTGAAAGCTGGGTCCACTAATGCATCCCTAAGTGGGCGTGCAAAATGATTACTCGCTTCTGAAAGCCCAGCTGTGGTGCCAGAGTCAAGCGTTTGCAAGCTGTAAGCAGGAAAACTGGGCAAGCTAATCGCTCATTCTGCACTTCCCACCTTCAGAGAACCAAAGGAGCTTCTTGCAGTTAGGTGTAAAATTCATTTGGTAAAGGCCCTGAGTCACTGGAGATGGATTAACAAGGTCATTCTTCCTTTAGTTCCAGTGTAGGCATATAGGCAGCAGTCCCCTGGGAAAGGGCTAAGAATGTGTCCTATAGAAATATACAGTGCATTGACGGAGCCATTAGTGTTGCTACCCCTGGTGAGTGCTATGCTGAGGGGGATACTTAGCTTGTTCCTGGGTGCCTCATGGAGAAACTTCTCTAGAGTCAGTAACTAAGCTCTGTCACACAGAGCTGGCTTCAAGGTTTGTCAAAACTGCTGGAAGAAGTGTGTTTTGTTCTGTTTTTCTTTCTTTGTCTAGCTCTGGTGGAACCCTGTGCGCTGTTTTTTTTTTTTTTTTTTTTGATCTCCATTAGCACGTGCTTTTCATCACTAAGCAGTGATGCATGTTTTAAGAATATTATCTTTAGTAATCTAATACAGCGATGTTCGTTGCTCAGAAGACCCCGTAAATTGTATATTCATCAAGAACTAGCTCAGGTGTTCCCCTCAGGTTTGGTACTCTTGTCTTCTCTGAGCCTGGTCTGGTGTGTTAGCAGTGAAATAAATTTCTGGGGGTTTCACTTCTGTCACATAGCAGGAAAGAGTTGTTAACCAGTGCATCTCATCTTGATTTTTTAGGGAATTGGAATTGAACTTTTAGAGCACCATTACATTTAAACGTAGCACTGCTGAGAGCCTGGAACTAAGTTCCATTTGCACCAGGCTGCCGAAGTCTAGTTTTTAATCAAATATTTTGTCTTGTTTCCACTTAAGTCACTGTGAAAAACTACATAAGTGGTTTTGCTTTTCACACCTGTTTTATTTAGAATTACACTCTTAATGTATGTATAGTGGTGATTGTCATTTTTTTTTTCTACCCTTCCACAGCTTTTACAGTAATACTATATTGGTAGTGCAGTACTGTACTGAATTTCTTCTAATCCTGTGTTGTTTCATACCTTTCATGACCATCTCAGCAGCTGGCAGTGTTATAACTCAAATATATTTACCCTACTTCAGAACTAATTAGTGCCTTAACTGTATGCTCACTGCAGAAGTAATTTGTGGGCTTAAACAAGATAAGTCAATAACAGAGAGGAGAATGCTGTCAGAGAGCAACGCTAGAGCTTTCTCATGTTCTCTGGTGATTTTTTTTTCTTTGCTCTCACTCTCTCCCTGCTCTCGTTTTCTTTCCGTCTCTTTTGTTTTCCTGCATGGCATGTATCATAGTAACCCCTTCCTATAACAAAGGGATATCAGGAGTTGCTGCTGCTGTTGCCTCTGTCGCTTCCAGAGTCTTCCTTTCCATGTGTCCGGTTTGCAGTGTGAGGAATCTCTTAATTTCAGCGCACATTCCCTTTTGCCTGTTAGGCTCAAATCAATAGGGCTGTCCTAGTCCTGATGGCAGCGTTGCTCCGCGCTGCATCTGATTCTCTTCCGTTGTGCTTCCCATTCGCTGCTTAGAACAGAGCTGCATGGCCTGCCAGAACTCATTGCTTCCTTCTCCCACCTCGGTGGCTGCAGAGCAGGGCACAGGAATTGATTTCTAGGCTGCTGTCACTAAGGCTGCATGCTGCTAACGAATGAAACAGTGTGACTTGATTTAGCCTGCTCCAGTGCTGCCCTGATGGGTGTTAATACACTGCTACAGGAAGGCTTCTCGTGGCTGTGAGCTCTTTAAATAGGTATCATGGTAACATGTGGTTATCCTTCAGACTTCCCTAGGGTTGATTAAAGAAAAGTGTATTAGCACAAAATGTCTTGTAAAACTAAAGCATCTGTCTCGGGGCATCTGGCTGTGCATGTTTGCTAGTTTTCATATGGTACTTAGTGTGAGAAATGAATTACTGGAGTTGGGAATATCCTTGCACAGTAGGAGTGCTATAGTTAAGAGTTTACCTTTCTTCTTTCTCTCTCTTTTTTAAGGAACCCTAAGGACCTTGCAATATGAATAATTCTCTGGAGAACACCATTTCCTTTGAAGAATACATCCGTGTGAAAGCGCGAACAATCCCCCAGCACAGGATGAAGGAGTTCCTGGACTCCCTTGCTTCCAAGGGGCCTGAAGCTCTGCAGGAGTTTCAGCAGACAGCCACGACCACCATGGTGTATCAGCAAGGTGGCAACTGCATTTACACGGACAGCACAGAGGTGGCCGGGTCTTTGCTTGAACTTGCTTGTCCTGTGACAACCAGTGTCCAGCAGCAAACTCAGCAAGAGCAGCAGATACAGGTCCAGCAACCACAGCAAGTCCAGGTAAGCATCTTAAATCACCTCTGAATGTTGCTGCTAACCCACAGAATAGTGTTTAGACCCAACTCACATCTAAATTGAAACCACAGGCAAGTATTGAAGAGACGGGGCTGAATACTTTTATATATATTTCACTTTCACTTAACGAGTTTGTTAGCAAGTTTCTCCTTTGATTCTGCCTCCATTGAGCCCCACTGCAGGAGGAGCAGCATACATAGCAATGTAGTGGTGTAACCTATTTGAGAAATGGTTGACAGTTCTGGCATGTACACAACTCCCTGAAGCCCTTGCACTCTGTGAAGCAGCTATAAATACCCCACCGCTGGTCTTCATTTCTCTGCCTAGTTGTGTGCATGGGATCTAACCCCTAAACTCCTTCACTTTTTTTTTTTTTTTTGGTGAAATCAATACTCTTTAGAGTTATTTCACTTAAATATTGGGAATGTCATTGTTCTTGAACTGGCCTTTAAGTTAGGGGAAAATGTAGGGGAAGTTGATTGTGTTATCAATTAGAGAAGGTATCTTTCAACAAAGACTTTCTAAAAGATACATGCGTGTCAAGGAAGCTTATTTGCAAAATGGAATGAGTCATCTACAATTTTTAATACATATTACAGTATTTTTAAGGCATTAAATAAACAAATGTAGCATCAAGAGGAAAACAAACAAAAACACCACCACCACCACCAAAAAAAGAAACAAACAAAACAACCACCACCACCACCACCAAAAAAAAACATAGAATCGCTTTGATCCTCCAGTCTTATTTCTTATAAGCCTAATAGAATCACTTTGGTCCTCCAGTCTTATTTCTTATAAGCCTACAGAGCATTTGCTAAGGCATTTATGTGTCTCAAAATGGCTGTACCTTGCAGCAGGTATAATCCTCATACATTTCAGATACGAATCTTTTTCCTTTCTGTAGCTTAAATCTAAATTTGTGAACTTTTCCCTTTTAAAGCAATAAGGAGATAGTGTGAACTTGCCATCAAAACAATAGGCTTGTTAACAGCTCACATGCATGCTGACATGCTGCAGTAAAGATGGAGTTACCTATTTCACAGAGTAATTCACCTGCAATTCCTCTCTCTGAAAAGTAAATGAATGTTAACTGTCCCTGCCCTAACCTGCTGCCCTACAATAACTTGTGTCGTTTGGCTTTGGGAGAATGAAAAGCATGCATGGATGAACTGGACCTCTTCGTGACCCTTAAAACTGACAAGAATGCTTCTGGTTCTGCCGACTAGAGATTTGCAGTCAAAAAATTCAATTTCATTAGAAGTAAGAGTTTGCAATTTTATTTTTTGAGATTGATACCTTAGTTTTGAAGATGTTAAAGACATCAAACCACTTGGGTGGGGGGAAAGAAAGAATACAGGGTACATGTTCTTTTCCTACTGCTGCCTCCTTTCAGAACTATGCAAAGTTCAGACTTGGCCCTTTGAAACCTTCTCATAAGGCACATGGGGAGAGAGGTCATATATCATACGCTCTAGAAAAAAAGGACTTGACCTTCTTTAAAATAACCATAGTGTTGCTGCCAGAGCTCTGTTCCTATTTTTTAAACTAAAGGGTCTGCACTTTAGGGACTACGAAAAGTACTTAGCAAAAATCAGCCCTTGCACAACTTGCCTAAGGAATGTTGTCTGTGCTCTTCCCTGTTGTTTTTGATGTGACTCTGCTTTAAAATCCCTGCTTTCGTGCCTGTGAGTACAAGCCATCATTAGTATTTTTTATTGCATTGCAGCAGCTTCCTTTGGTCTGTTCCCAAACCCGTGTGTGTCATAACCTGGTACTAGATATGACTGCAGCTTTGTGGTATTATCAGAGCGGTTGGGCTTACTTATATTTCAGCAACTGTCTGGAATTATCTTGAAGCAAATGAATGAGCCTTGCTGTTTGGCAAGGTCTGAGATGGGAAAGTGTCTTTTCACCTCTGCAAGAGATTCAATGTTCTTATCTCTTTCGAGATTTCTCATCAAGATGCGATAAAATTTTAAACCAGGGTTTAGCATTCACCTCTCTCCAGACTGTTGCTGTGACACAGCATGGTGCCTGAGCAAAGTTGATTTTGTTACAGATTTGGGATGACCAGAGCAGTGCATCTGATCCAGCTCGTTTACACGGCCACAGAACCTTAGCCAGTAAAACCCAAAGAATTTGAATGTGGACCATGAGGAAGTCAGCTGCAGACTAATATGAGCTGAAAACAGTCTTTCATCCTGTTTTTGTTTCTTTTGTATTAGCTTGGCTATTGAGCTACTTTTAGAGTTGCACCTTGGTTGCTAAACCGCTGCCTGTGTTATCTCATGAGAAACTTGGTTCATCCTCTGAAATCTCTTAGATTTTGATCAGACTTGTCATCTCAGTACTCGACTCGATAATCCACTTAGTTCCTGTTAACCCAATTGCAAGTCAATGGAAAACCAAAGTGCTGAAGTCTAGCTGTGTGATGGTGGTGCTGAAGGTGACTAATAATATAACTAGTTGGATGCAGCCTCACAGTTCCAAGTGCTGATGACAACCTTATGATCATAGACAGACATAGACAGTGCTCAGGTTTCATCCTGGATCTCACTGTGGACAAATGATAGCAGTGCTTTCTTGCTGGTTTTATTTATACGGGGAGAATAAATTTTCTGTTTGAAGGACTGCGTCTAGAATACTTTTCAGATTCCTTCTTGAATATCTTAGGGTTTTGTTGTTGATAAGGTTCAACAGACTATTGTCAGACACTGTTAACCCTAAAATTGAGTAGATGGAACTGTCTGGTTAAGCTTTACATAAGTCTAAGTGCCTTGAAGCTCCTTCTATGTCCGGTATCACAGCGGTGCCGTTATCAATCTTAAGAAACAATTCTGTTTCCCAAATGGACGTACTTTTATTTTGTGCTGTCCTAGTTGGGAAGAGCTGTGTTTTACTCCAGTCAAGTAAGGATTTTCCTGGTTCTGCCTTTTGCAAGGTCGTGGCTAGATGGCCTTGTGCATTGAGCTCATATGGAATTAATGATACTGGGGTGAAAGCGTGTTAATGTTTACTGGCTTATTGAATAGGGCATTTGTGCAGAGGCTAATGAGCCTCTTTGCTCTTCTTCCCCAGACTTAGCAGAAAGAATATCATCGGAGAGTAAGATCTAGACACAGCATACAGGGAAGTTTTTCAGTTCCAGCCCTTTAGTAAGATTTTGGCTAGAGAACAAGAGCTCTTTGGACTGAGATTAAGAGAAGATGCTACAGCTGAGCAAGGCTGCGGACCTGTATAGAGAATGGTTAAAAAACCACATAAACTGTTAAGTGCTTATGTCTTGTTAACTGATAATTTCTTATGTTCACTGTTTGCCATTTAGTTGTTTTTAGTCTTTTCCCAATCTCTGTTCTGTGACTTCAGACCATTATAGAAAGCTGGCTGGTATTAGTGAAGTAAGGCAGGGGAGGATGCACTAGAGTAATCCAGAAGAAAACTTCTCTAGCTCTGCCAAGAGTATCTTTCGTTCCCTTTGGATGTGGCCTCCCTCCTCTGCCTCCTACCTTAGTT